TTGAGAATCTCTGAGAATCTCTCAGAATCTGTGAGAATCTCTCAGAATCTTTGAGAATCTATCAGAATCGCTAAGAATATTTGAAAATCTATCAGAATCTTTAAGAATCTCTGAGAATCTTCTTGAAAATCTTTTAGAATCTTTCAGAATCTCTGAGAGTCTTTGGGAATTTCTGAGAATCCACCAGAATCTCTGAGAATCTCTGAAAATCTCTCAGAATCTTTCAGAATCTCTGAGAATCTCTGAGAATCTCTGAGAATCTTTGAGAAACTCTCAGAATCTCTGAGAATCTCTGAGAATCTGTGAGAATCTTTGAGAATCTCTCAGAATCTCTGAGAATCTTTCAGAATCTCTTAGAATCTTTCAGAAACTCTGAGAATCTCTGTGAATCCATCAGAATCTTTAAGAATCTCTGAGAATCCCTGAGAATCTTTCAGAATCTCTGAGAATCTCTGAGAATCTTTGAGATTTTATGTGAATCCCTCAGAATCTCTGAGAATCTCTGAGAATCTCTGAGAATCTCTCAGAATCTCTGAGAATCTCTGAGAATTTCTGGGAATCTCTGAGATTCTCTGAGAATCTCTGAGAATCTCTGAGAATCTCGGAGAACCTCTCAGAATCTCTGAGAATCTCTGAGAATCTCTCAGAATCTCTGAGAATCTCTGAGAATCTCTGAGAATCTCTGAGCATCTCTGAGAATCTCTGACTCTTTCAGAGGCTCGCAGTGATTCTCCGAGAGTCGCATAGGTTGGAGCTTTCAGAGGCTCCAAAGTGGTTGGGATCTCACGCGTCCCAGGGGTCATTGACGGTTGGGATCTGAACCGTCCGGTTGGGATCTTACGCGTCTGGTTGGGATCTGAACCTTTCTCGCCAGATCAAGGGCACCCTCGTGTCCTGTGCCTCGCGACCCATGCTCCCCACACTCCTGCGGCAATGTGGCCCTCGGAAAGGGGCCTGTGTCCTCTCGCGTGTCCTGTCCAATCGATCTTCGAGGCTGCGCCCTCCCCCTTTTCTCCCCCTCATTGGCTAATTCAAGCTTCGCGCGGGCCGCTTAGCTTTGACCGGAAGAGGTGCGCTCTCGACCCGCGAATCAAAAATGTGTCTTGTCCCATCGAGTCCGACTGCAGCTCCCGGGGGGGCCCGCAGCTCCTGCGATTCGGCTGCGGCGGAGCACGGCGCCGCGCCCCCCCCCCGCGAGGGAGCGCGCGGCTTCCGGCCCTCGGGCGGCAGGGCGCCCGGCCGCACGGGGGCCCCGGACGAGGGCAGCATCTCACACGCGCCGCGCCGAGGCGGGAGCGAGGAGCGAGGAGCGATAAGGAGCGAGGAGGAGCGAGGAGGAGGAGCGAGGAGGAGGAGCGAGGAGGAGGAGGAGGAGGAGGAGGAGGAGGAGGA